TCATCCACTCATCTTCCAGACTACACAAGACAATAGACACCCAGGTTGAGTTCATTCTCCACCTCTCCTATATCTCTCCCCTACCTGCAGAGTGAGCTCCTGTAGAGAGGAGACCTCCTGCAAAGATGTAACAGCCTCCCCACCAGTTAGAGAGCCCTCCAGTTGGGCCGATGCACCAGAGGTCCCCCGCACCAGGGCTCAGCCCCCATGCACCTGCCCACACTTTTCCAGCTGAGGACCATGACTCCGCTTCACACTTGGCTGCGAACCATTCCAGTGTTAGCTGGAGACCACCACCTGACGAAGCCAACAGAACCACATCATCTGCGAAAAGTGGAGATGAGATTCTGAGACCACCAACATTTAAGCTCTCCGCCACTTGATCACACCTCGAAATTCTGTCCATAAAAATAATGAACAGAATCTGTGACTGAGGGCAGCCCTAATGTCCAACACCCACTGGGAATGACTTCTGTAGCAATGGGTCAGACACCCCATACACTTGAAGCACTACTGACAAAATACTCAGAGGGACAGTGTCTGATACCTGCTCCAAGTCCACAAAACATCTAGACTGCTTGGGCAAACTCCCAATGATTCCTGAAATATTCTCACGAGGGTTTAGAGCTGGTCCAATGTTCTGCGACTGGGACAAAACCTGCATTGTTCCTCCTGCATCTGAGGTTCAACTAATAGATGGACTCTTTTTTTTACCCCCAGCACCCTGGCATAGACTTTCCCAGGGAAGCTGAGAGGTGTGAGCCCCCTATAGTTAGAGCACACTCTCCAGTCCCCCTTCTTAAAGATGGGAACCACCACCCTGGTTTGCCAATCCCGATGTACTGCTGGTGATCTCTATGAACCATTGTGGAGGCGTGTCAACCAGGACAACCCTACAACACCCAAAGCTTTTAGGAACCTCATCCACCACAGAGGCCCTGCTACCAAGGAGTTGTTTAACTGAAGCCAAATAAATTAAGGTGCCACTTACAGACATTACATCCCAGTCACACTGATAAACCACTTGAGTTTTTTCAGCGAAAATGTTCTGAATATTGCCGACAATCATCCCGCTTTGTGAAAGCTCCTTCAGTAAACCAGCGAGCAAGGTTAGCATCAAACAAGGTGGCATACCAAATCGCTCAGTGCAAAAACCCTCACACCATAGCAGAGGAGCCTGCCTGCAGCATTAGACATGGTTTCTGGCATGCTGGATGACACGAGTGCTGCAAAAATAAAACTATCTCTCTGTCCAGTGACACTGTCACCAGACGTATAAATGACATTGGTAACGACCTTAAAAAACAGCTGGTAGATAAACTCAAAGACAAACATTTTGCCTTACAGTTTGATGAAGCAACAAAGACTGTTTGTTTATTGCTTATGTACGTTGTGACATGACAAAGTTCCTGTGTAAGGATCTACTTTTTTGTAAACATGTCAGAGACAGAGACACATCTGCAAAGCTATTCAAAATGCTGGCCTGCTTCCTGACTGAGAACGGGCTAAAGTGGGAGAACTGCATTGGTATTTGTAGTGATGGTGCACAGACCATGGCAGGGATGAGAAAAGGGCTTCGGGCGCTCATCAAGAAGGTTTCGCCTAATGCTGAATGGACACACTGTGTTATACACAGAGAAGCACTGGCATCAAGGCGCCTTTCCTATTTTTTCTAAGTAAGGTTATGACTGATATTGTAGGTGTAGTCAATTTTATAAAGACCAGACCACTAAAAACAAGAGTCTTCTCTGCTGTCTCAAGTCAAGTCAAGTCAATTCAAGTGCCTTTATTGTCATTCCAACCATGTGCAATGGTACAGTACACAGTAAAACGAGACCATGGCGCTACCTATGACATGTAACAGACAATCAACACAGGACTACACAAAGTGCAATGTGCAAAAAAACCAAAAAAAGACACAAGAACAATAAAGACACAACCGCGCAAAATAACTGTGCAAAAGACTGAGCGTTGTGCAAAAAGTAACTTGGTGTATGAAGGTGTGCGTGTGTGTGTATGTGATTGTGCAGATAAGTGCTTGGTATGAAGGTATTTGTGTGTGTGTTAGTGTTCAGGAGTCTGACAGCTTGGGGGAAGAATCTGTTTCACAGTCTGGTAGTGAGTTTGGTGCTCTTGGCGACCTTCACAGAGGCTCCATTGATGTGAAATGGACAGTGATCTCTCTGTGCTCTCCTGAAGTTAACAGTCATCTCTTTTGTTTTGTCCACATTCAGACACAGGTTGTTGACTATATGTGACGAGATGGGAGCTGAACATCAAGCTGTGCTGTTTTACAGTGAAGCGAGGTGGCCGTCATGAGGAAAAGTCTTGTCCCAAGCTTTTGAGCTCAGAGAGCAGATGAGAATAATTTTGGAGCAGGAGCACAAGTCTGAAGTGGCCGAAAAATTTAGTGATGAGAACTTTCTGGTGAAACTGGGCTACCTGAGTGGCATATTTGGAAAGCTAAATGAACTAAATCTACGGCTTCAAGGGAAACCGTAGATTTAGTTCCCTCAGGTCACAGGCAAGATCAGCTCTTTCACCCGAAAGCTTGCAATGTAGGACAGCAATCTTGATGAAGGAAATACTGATTTATTCGAGAATCTGCTTTAATTTGTTGACACTACTGGCTATGATGCCACCACCTCAGTGATTCCATGTATTAAGCAGCACATTTCAAAACTGATCGCATACTTCCCTGAAAACAGTTCCCAGTATGACTGGATGAAAGATCCTTTCAATGCACAAGCTCCAACTGGTTTCAGCTATGCAGAGGTTCATTGACATGACATCTGACTCCACTAAAAAACAATGTTAATAAAATTATTCTTTGTTTTAAGTTGATCTATATTTCTTTTTAGTTTTCTTTAATGTTAATAAGGATACAATGTTTTGCAGAGATGTACTTATAATAACAATTTGGGTAGACCGAAGCAGATATGACTCCTTCTTCAGCCTGATGACTCCCTTCACCTCCAGTGTCCACCATTTGGTTACATCATTGACCTCTAGGTCTCACTGTCCCACAGAGCATTGAAGTCTCCCAGTAGGACAACAGAGTCTCCAGGTGAAGCACCCTTGAACCCCCTGCTCAGGGACTCCAGTGGACTCTAGCCCACTGGGAAAATGCCAACGTACAGGCAGCAGGCCGAGGGGATACCAAGATACCCACTCCAGCCTGCCGCCTCTCATCAAGGGCAACTCCTGACTGGGACAGTCCAGCCCCTCTCGAGGAGACTGCTTCCAGAGCCCAAGCTGTGCATTTAGCTTAACCCGATTTTATCTAGCCGGTACCTCTCAACTTCACACTCTAGCTCAGGTTCCCCATCAGCAAGGGGACATTCCATGTCCCAGTCATCAGCCTTGGTGGCCAGGGATTGGGATTGGTCTGCCAGAGTCTCCACCCTTGGCCGCCGCCTAAAACACGCTGTGCCTGACCTCTACAGCTCCATTAAATCAGTGATTTTAGCGTGTTAGAGAAGAAAAATGGTGGATTGGTGCAAATTGCATCCAGAACAGAAATTATACTGGGAATGCAATTTTGGTTGAACAAACACCTACACAGACAGCATGCTTAAACAGACAGACCAGACCCTGAACTTCAGTAGATAAGCTGATGAGCAGTCAGGGTTGCAGGGTTGTCTCCATTTCTACTGTACATGTTTCTACAGTAAAATCACTGTGGCAGTTGCTTTAAATTCTCTTTGGGCTGGTTTCAATATTTGCTTATTGTTGTTGCTTTGTGTTAATAGGTAAACACTAAAAGAAAGATCATATGTTTGCCCTTATTAGGATAGGGATTTTCTGTTGGTGTGTGGGAAACTGTAGCCTATAGTTTATATTGTTAAATGTAACTATGTGGCAGTGCATTTCAGGTCATTTTATCGTTTAGTGTAACAAATAAATTTCTCTGGCAAGTAAAAGTAGCATACCACATTACTTTTAAGAAAGGTAATGAATAATGTGTTTTACTTTTTTTGATTAATGACCCCAACGATGCACAGCACAGCCCTGCTCCCTGCTGCCTTTGTTTTAAGCTCTCTGTCTTGACCCACTGTTTTTCTTTCTATGTTTAGGATGATGAAGTGGTCTTACAATGCTCAGCTACAATCCACAAGGAGCAACAAAAACTTTGTCTTGCTGCTGAAGGCTTTGGGAACAGACTCTGCTTCCTCGAGTCCATTTCAAACTCCAAGGTACAGTATTGACATAAGTAATAATCCTTTATTTCACAAGAATAGCCAGATCACCATCAAATGAGTGGGGAAAAATGATTTCACTGAAGAAAAAAATCCAGAACGTGTTGGCTGTAGCATGTATTTATGTGTCATGTTCATCAAACCCTGATCATCAGATCACAAACCAAAATGCTTTTGGAGAAGTTGCCCAATTAATTAAATGAGTGTCACAGCTTCCACAATAGCATTACAGTTTGAAAACTACTCTATACCTCATAGCTTTCATAGCTCCATTCATGCTATATTTTATAGGATTCACATGTTTACTAAGAATTGTGTGTGCACAAAGTCAGAGCTGTACTCATCATAGATTTAATAAAGCCTCCTGTGCCACACAGGATAAACCGTGGCTCTTTTGGTGGTATAAAGGTGGCTTTCACAACAGTGGACAGGAGGTTTTAATTTAGATGTAAATTTATAGCTGTTTTCTTGTTGTTTCAGAATGTACCTCCAGATCTGTCAATCTGCACTTTTGTGCTGGAGCAGTCGCTGTCTGTACGAGCCCTGCAGGAGATGCTGGCCAACACCCAAGAGAAGGCGGATGGGGTGAGTGTGGGCATGCATACACACATCAGAGAAGAGAGTATTAATAAATATACTGTAGGTGTTATTCACATTAGGGTGAGATCTTCTAGGGCAGACCTAGGGTAAGGTCATCTCCCAGCAAGAAGGTTCCTGGTTTGAACCCCAGCTGGGTCCTTTCTGTGTGGAGTTTTCAGGTTTTCCATGTGTCTGGGTGGGTCCTCTCCAAGTACTCCCTAAGCTGTGTAGGCAGACACAGGGGTGGACTACACAATATTAGGGAGTTTCCTATCACAGTTGAAAGACATTCATGTTAGGTTTGTTGGTGATTTCAAATTTGCTCATGGATGTAAGGAAGACAAAGTGTTTAAATTGTATAGACTAAAGCAGCCGTCCCCAACCACCAGTCCGTGAGTCGTTTGGTATCGTGTTGTAGTTGTGTGTCTTATTTTGAAAGAAATATTTACGCGTTAGTGTAGTGACCAGAGAGCATTAAGGGGCAGAGAGGAGGATGTTACTCTCAATGTAGTTGGCGCATTTCAGAAGGACACTGCTAATAAAGTAACACAATTACACAGTGAATTTGCGTTTATTATTATATTTACAAAATACCACAGTTTTTGTCTCGGTGGTATCATTTTATTTTGTTCTATTTATAAGCGACACCTTAAAGGCCGCTCTGTGAAAATATTGTCTGACATTAATCTGGTCTGTAAAAAAGGTTTGGGACCGCTGATCTAAAACACTGGATTAATGCATGTTTAAATGTGACCTGTCTAGCATTACATGGTAAGAAAGACCAGAAAAGCATTATGTAAATTATGTAAATGTTCATTCCATCCATGCCTGATAAAACACAAAGAGGAACATGACACACACACGAGAAAGAGAGTCTGCTTATTCCACTCTTTTTAATGGGGGTTGTTCAAAGTGGTGAAAATGAAGCTGCTGATAAGATTTGACAGAAAATATTGGCTTATTTCACACACTTTGTCAGGTTATAAGGGTTTTTGACCCAAGCTTTTGTTTGTTATTATGGGTTTGTTTTGTTCATTTAGCCTATTGTTTGCTGGGCTGTTACTTGTACAGACTTCTGTTTGAGTTATTATTATAGTAGTTTGTGGCTTTGTAACATTTGAAAAATTATGAAATCTGTACATTTTTAGTTAAACTACTGTGAAGACATCTACGTAATATATTTAACAAATTGTGTTAAAGCGTCTAAAGTGTTTATTTATTTATTGTCATGCCTGTTCCCCCAGTTTCCCATAAATTTTGCTTGGCTTGTTCCCTGCATTCAGGTTGAGGAGTCATATGATGATGATGAAGCTTTGATTCCACAATCCCAAGAAACGATGTAGAAAATTAATAAAATCGATATCAGTTGATAATAATCTGCCGATTGCCTAGTTGAAAAAACTTGTATTCTGTGGGGGCTGGGAGCGCGCTTTGTTAGTCGCTCATTACGCCCAGGTTAAAGACTAACAACAGTTAATTCTCTCCTACCTGTAGCACGTGGAGTTTTTGCGCCTATATCTAAATAAATAAACACTGCAGGTTGGACACTTATTTGTGGGACATGTACCAGTTGTTGGATTTGGAGTGTTCCTTTCACAGCGCAAAATTTTTGAACCAGAGCACTAAAATCAGTCGCAAAGGTGATATACTAAGATTAATGACAAACAGCAAGCAGGACTTTCTGCTTTTACGTTTATTTGGAAAGCATACATGGCAGGAATTGCCAGTTTTAAGCACGGTGCCAGAGTTTCGTGGTTGTTGTAGCGTTTTCCTGACCTTGTTAATCACCCAAAATATTTAGAACAAAGCATCACATATTTCTGGCAGAAATACTCACACACATATATATTGTTGTGCATTCGGAGCACATTTTGCATTTTATATAAGAACATTAGCAGTGCAATGAAATATTTGTTTTATGCTTTCATGTTCACAAACACAGGTCAGCAATAATCATAGAATTATTACCTTTTGTCTGGCTTGCTCAGTGTGCACAACTTGTATTTTATTTGCTGCAAGCATTTACCTATATCAGTATTTTATAGAAAGGTTCAACGTTATGTTTCTCTCATAATTATAGACTAGCTTAACAAATTTACAAGGTATAAATATATTGTTTAGCAAGCTTGTAAATGAATGCGCCACTACACAGCTCCTCGCCCTCTGATGGATACACAAGACATTACCAATGGTTTTCCTAAATGCCGCATAGGGGCGTTACTACTCATGGTTGCATGGCCCTGTCAGGTATAAGGCAGCCGTTTTAAGTGGCTGTATTTCCTGGATTTGTTTTTTGCCTGTGGACAATTTTTGCGTCACCTCGCCTTTTGCTAACTTTCGCCTGCCTTCCTTAGTCCACATTTGGATCCTTCTTCGCTGTCCATCACTAAATATGAACACATTTCAAGTTCTATAAGATAGGTGTGGGTTTAAAAAATGTAGTTTGAATAATGCGATGTCGATTCATTCAATTTCGAATCGATTTTTAAATATAAATGTTAGTGCTGTCAGTGTTAATCTCGTTAAAATGACGTTAACGCCATAACTGCATTAACGCGGCAAATCTCTGTTAGCGAGTTAGCACGGATCGCCCTGTCCAAGGGGCTGCACGGCGTCAACGCATTAGCACGGTTAGCTAGTTATACATCAGTACCGTGCAGCCCCATGCACGGGGTGATCCGCGCTAACTCTCTAACGGAGATTTGCCGCGTTAATGCAGTTATGGCATTAACATCATTTTAACGAGATTAACACTGACAGAACTAATAAATGTATTTTGCCAGAAATGCCAGGATCTCAGGTTAAATCTCACGAAACTATTTCAACAACCACCAAAGAGTTAAAACAGGAAATGAGGTAAACAGTTCTGCAAAAAGATGTAAAATTAAAGTGTGGAGCTCCCCGTTCACCCGACGGCACGTACACGGACATTCTGGATGGTGAAAGCTGACATCTCACAGATTCTGAAGCTGCAGGTTTCTTCACTCTCTGACCAAAATTGACTAAACCAGCAGCAAAAGAAGATCAACGCTACGCTTCAAATTTGATAAGCACTGTCATGCATTCTCTCTTACCTTTGCTTTTACTTCCTGCAGAACTCTCTCCCAGTGTATTTTCTGCATTATTTGCTTGCTTAGTATGCTTTGGTGCTTATTACGCACCAGTCTATCTATTGTGTGCAGTGCTGTTGGCTGCTGCTCTTTTTTTTTTTCAAAGATAACCTCTGACAAGAAAGCCTCATTTCTGCTGTTCAATACCTGTTCAAGAAATTTAAAGTTTTACGGATGATGCAAAACTGCAAAACACTTAGCCGTGTCTGTAATAAACCTCTGTTACTTTGCTCTGCTTCACTTCAGTAGCATCAGGCAATGTTCATATATTGATTCATGGTCTTCTTCAGTTTTCAGTTTTTTAACTACTGCAGACTATTTTAAAGCGGCTAGGTGCTATAAAAAGCCAGGCTAGGAAAATCTCCTTGATGTTTTTCTGTGTTTTGTCCTCAGTTACTTTGACACAAAGGCATCTGCTGTGATGCTCACATCGCTGTCTCACAAGTGTCAGCTTTGTCTTTACACTTAGATATAAAAATATGGATATGTACTGATAAATCAGAATCAGAGTCAGAATACTTTTTTAATCCCTATGGAAATTATGTGGGTTACAGTTGCCCCAGGACAGTAACAGTAACAGACTAAACTATTTAAACAATACAAAATGTTACAGATTTTACAAATTTAGGAAATAGCGCTAATATATACAAATCACTCAATTATAAATAAATATCAAGAATATTGACAAGAATATTACAGAGGCAGAATATATATGATTGACATTTGACTCTAACCTGTGAACTTTGTCATATGCTATTTTACTGCAGAGCATGTGCAAAAGGGTGTAACTATTGCAGTGTTTACAGTGTGTTAGATGGAGGAGTTGTACAGGGAGATGGCCACAGGCAGGAATGACTTCCTGTGTCGTTCAGTGGTGCTTTTTGGTAATCTCAGTCTCTCGCTGAACGTCCAGTCCAGTTTATTGTCTATGCATACTTCAAGGTATTTATAGCCCTTCACAATGTCCACGTTGACTCCTTAGATTGAAACAGGGGTCAAGAGTTTCCTGGTCTTCCTTGGTCTTTGCCACGTTGAGCTGCAAATGACTCTGCTCAGACCACATGTCAAAGGAGTCAACCACAGCCTGACTCATTACCCCTGCTGATGCATCCAACCACCGCAGAGTCATCAGAAAACTTCTGAAGATGGAGGTCTCTGTGCTGTGGCTGAAGTCGGTGGTGTAGAGGGTGAAGAGGAAGGGGGAGAGGACAGTCCCTTGTGTTGCTGATCACCTTGTCAGACACACATTTGGGAAGACACACATATATTGGTCGTCCTGTCAGATAATCAACAATCCAGGACACCAGAGAAGCATCCACCTGCATCGCTGTTAGCTTATCACCCAGGAGGGCTGGCCTGACGGTGCTGAATGCACTGGAAAAGTAAAAAAAAACATGAACCTCACAAATTCACACCTCACCAACTGGACGAGATGGGCGTAGACACACTTGAGCAGGTAGATGATGGTGTCCTCAGCTCCGAGGTGGGGGCGGTAGGCAAACTGAAGGGGATCCTGATGTGGTCTGACTGTGGGTCGGAGCTGCTCCAGGACGAGTCTTTCCAGGGTCTTCATGATGTGGGAGGTCAGTGCCACAGGCCTGTAATCCTGGGGGCCACTGGGATGTGGCGTCTTTGATACAGGGACGAGGCATGATGTCTTCCACAGCACTGGGACTCTCTGCAGACTCAGACTCAACCAGAACAGTTTATGAAAGACTCCACAAAGCTGGGGAGCACAGGCCTTGAGGACACGCGGACTCACTCCATCTGGTCCCGCAGACCTACCTGAGTGGAGCCTCCTCATTTGCCTCTGAACCTGGTCGTGAATGAAAGTGATAGTTTCCACTCCAGCTTTCTCCTGTAATTGTCCTTAGCCTCTCTGATCGCGTCCTTCAG